TTTGGGGCAAAGTCATCAAACTTTTCAGGGATTTTTTTGATCATATTTTACTGCTGTTTCTATACATTCAGTTTTTATGTCCCGGTGACCAGTGAAAGTGCAGTTCTGAGGGTCTTCCATCGAAAACTACGACTTGAACCCTTTTACTGTCTATGGTTGAACCGGACTGGGGAGAGAGGAGCTGTAATTATGTAAAATATGTGGAAAATAATGCAGTTTTTTTTAAAACAACTGAGCATGAAAGCATATTCTAGTACACCCCAAAAACAACCAAGACTTTAAAAGGGCACAATAGGACACCTAAAATTGAGGAAAAATCCATTAAGAGACATCAGTATCAGGGCATGCTGTTAGTATAGGCTAAATGTTATATATTAGCCTACTATATAAAACAATATGCTATATATTAATCAAATGTGTAATCGATTATACAATTAATTAAAAATGAGATTAGAGTAATGGTTACACCCCTAAATGAAAAGTTATTGTACTCGTTAAAGAGAAAAACGTGTCATTAAAGCTACTTTTAGTTTATTCTTAGCTAAAAACACTTAGTTCTTTCAAAAATATATGTGCTCATTAATGTATATTTATTTCGTTCAAGTAATAAAGTACATGTGTACAGTACAAAGTACAAGTACAAAGTACAGTGTATAATATGCCATTGAAAATACTTACGAGGAAGGTGTTCTTCTAATGTCGGTCGCCATGTTGCCCCTCCATCTTGAAAATACATTAGCCAAAGAGGGACAAACCCGTTAATTCAAGCTTCGCCTTTCGCGTTTACGTTTGAGTTAACAATCAAAGACGAGGTCGAACTGGAAGCCATGTTAGTCTTGGACTATATTGGCCACCGTAGGAGTTAATATTCGCTGGAAGTTCATATCTTTTCACCGCTAGATGGGGGTAAAAATCACACAGTGTAGGCATGACGTGTGAAGAAAACAACAAAATATATGGGCCTATAGCCTACATACAGACTTTAATGACATGAAATTTCGACTTTTTAATGGACCAAGTCTGGTCGAGTGTGTCACGCAGTCTCTCTGGGTGAAAGGAGTGTCGTCCATTAGTTTTTTTTTTTTTTTTTCCAGCTCTCCGCACTTCTCCAGACCCTCAAAGCTTCGGCTCTTTTGTGATTGTCACGGTGACTCAACGTGAGATGACAGATCGAGACTGGTGTCTGTCGTCCTCTTAAAGCTAATCAAAAGGAAAGGTGGACTATTTTTTTTTTCTCCGTGTGTGTGCATTTTAATTCACGTCCGTTTATTAGCGAAATCAATGCTGGTTCTTTTAGTTATGTGACATAAATACAAACTGTATGTTCTTAATGTGTTGATGGAGTCTTTTGTGATGGTGTGATGAAAGGCGATAAGAAGAAAGTCTCTTTCGTTCCCAAATCATCCACCTTTCTGATCTCTTTCTCCCTGTATCTCTTAACTCACAATGCAAAGCAAATGAGAGACTGAATATAAAGGATCTCCTGAGGTTTTCTGGCAGAATGTATTGAACTCATTGAGATTCTCATTGTCTGATTCTCCTGCTTCTTCGTTTAGCACGTAAGAGCGAGAGCTAATGATGCACCTTCATAAACATAAACAAGCTTCAATTCATTTGACATTTAGCCAGATAATGAAGACCGAGGAGGATGAAGAAACACAACAAAAAGAGTTCAAAGTCACGCTCGTCAACAAGATGCATGCGGGGAATCATCTTATTCTGATATTTTCGCTTGTTTCATCTTCTGTTTCACTCAAAACGCAAACGTGTTCCTTTTAAGTCATACAGTACACCATTTATTATTTAGCATTATCTTTATTAATATTAAAGTCACTGAATAAAGTTTTCATGTAGAAAACTATAAAGGCCTGTATGTCAGAGTAAAAAAATATAGACGCAATTGTGAACGTTTAAATTAGACTTTGTAGTGAACGAGTGCAGATTAACTGAAAAGTGAATAAAGACATTTCAAATTTTACAAAAGATTTATATTTTAAATAAATGCTGTGATTTTGAACTTTGTATTCATAAAATAATCTTGCAAAAATACACACTTTAGAAAAAATGGTTATCGGGTTCTCAACTCAATTTTAACGCTTTATGCCCAAAATGTTAAATTATTCCATAATACTTTCATGTTTCTTTTTTCCTATCGTTAAAGCGGTTTAATTCACAAAATATGATTAAAAATAATTAAATTACATCTGTAAAATGATTACATGATTGGAAGCCCTTAAAGATTCTAAAATGCTAGGTTGTTTTAACCCAAATTTGGGTCAAATATGGACAAACCCAAATGTTGAGTTAAAATTTTAATTTAAAAATTCACAGTTAAAAGTGAAAGTTGAAGTTGGTTTAAATTTTTAAATGATATTTTTAACCCAACATTTGGGTTTGTCCATATTTGACCAAGCATTATGAAGTGTCTGACGGAAGCCTTCAAGAACCGTTTCTTCTAAGAATATGACATTGACAATACTCAGATGCATATAATCAGTGTTGTAGTACTCGAGACTCGGACTCGGTCTCGAGACCATATTTTAATGGTCTTGGTCTTGTCATGGACTCGTGTCCATTTGGACTCGGAATTGACTCGTACTCGAACATTTTTTTTTTTAGGACTCGGAATTATTCCAGGGTCCACTCGAGTTCAATTAAAAATAATTTTCATGATTATTAATGTATGTTAATAAAATATTTCTTTCAATTAATTGACATGCCCAGTGATTGGTGATTTTCTAGTGCGCAACTGCGCATGACAAATTGTAATAAAATTACTTTTAACACCACCTACTATGTGGCCTTTTTACCCTAAACTGATCATATTTTTTAAACTCCAAGTAAATTCAGTAAAAAAAAAAAAAAAAAAAATCAACCCTCACTGGTCTCGGTCTCGACTCGGACTCGACCGTCTCTGGTCTCGGACTCGACTCGGACTCTCTCTATGGACTCGGTCTTGACTCGGACTCGACTCTCTATGGTCTCGGTGTCGACTCGGACTCGAGTGAGGTGGTCTCGACTACAACACTGCATATAATGATTTCTGAAGGATCACGTGACACTGAAGACTGGAACGATAAATAATGCTGTTTTTCATCTAAAATCCTTAATTAGATGTCCGACACACCAAATAAACACGAACAGCACAAGTAACAATACCCAAAGTTTCAGGGCAGCGTGACACTAACAGACAAGAGCGAGCAAATCTCATTCACACATCTGCCCTGATGTGCTGCCTGCAGTCGTCATGGTAATAACACCATCCAATCGCAGCTCTTAAAGGACAACTACATCATTCTGCTCGAGCACTTCCTGTCCTTGCAGAGTAGGGCATGACACAAACAAAAACACTCAAGTCTCACTTCCTCCCGTGATTTTTGTGTTTACCTGCTCAGTTTCTGCAGAAATAAAACACTTTTGTGTCCAGTCTTACTGAAAAGTTGTACGATGACTTTGTGTGCCCGTAGCGACAGCTGTGTGTGTGTTTGTTGGGTGGGGCTATACTATAGATATGTTCAGTTATTATCGGTCTCCACCCATGTGTGTTAATGGTGTGTTTCGTATATGGTTCAGCTGATATATAGGATCTGTTTCCTGTTCCCTCATGTTCTCTCTCTCACTTATTATCTCACTCTCTCAAGTATTTATTTCCAGTTTTTAGTCCAGAAATGATGACACACATCCTAATTGACTCCTAATCATTTCAGACATTTTATCTTAAATCCATTCTAACAAGATGATTACATTTACATATTGATAAATTTCAATATTAATTGCATAAAATAAATGATTTATAAAAAGTTTAAATTATATGTATATCAGGAATTACAGACCTCCTTAACTTTATTACACACCTGACCTCTAAGGCCATTAGCTGCATTCGTGTGCTTGACCAGCACTTCAAAACTGATTATAACGGATTAGGTTTCATCACACACTACTGACCTACTTTAACACAACATGGACCTCAAGGGTGACCTTTCACTGAGCTGGCATTATGTGACCATTAAGTGCTAATGGTGTCACTGAACATGACGTTAAGTCAGTCATGTATGAAACCCAAGCTCACCACAAAGTCACGTCATGATGTGCAAGTATTTGTGAAGGTAATTAAGCGTGTTTGAACAGGCCAGTGGTGGAAAACAAAGGCTTGAAAGTTTGACAGACATCTCCTGTTATGTTTACGAGAAGTCATGTGAACCTTAAATCCAAAAGCAATTTTAAAATTGATTATATTTTAGAATGTGCCAAAGTTATTAATGATAATATGGCTAATATTCTGGAGCACTAGATGGCTCCAAAACCTGATAATGCACAACAATCAATCACATTTCTTTATTTCAAGAAAACAAGAGGCTATTAAAAGTCATAGAAGTCTTAAATAATAATTAAAAAAGTTAAAATGATGAGATACCGAGTCATAATTATTACATGGTCAGTAGTAGATATTAGGAGGTAAAAAAGTAGTAAGTCATAATTTATGTAAAAGAAATAAATTATGACTTAAAAACATACTTATGACACATTAAAAAGTCAACAGTATGATATAAAAATTCAAATTAAGAGATAAAAAGTCAAAATTGACTTAATTATTAAATTAAAATTCAAACTTATGACAAAAATTTGAATTAGGAGATAAAAAAGTCAATACTAAGTCATTTATATAAAAGCCCATTTCCACCAGATAAGAAAATAATTATATTGTGGTAAATCTTAGATTATGACATAAAAAAAAGTAATAATTATGACAAAAGTAGACATTAGGTAATATATTATTCATTATTATGACATAAAATAAATGATAACATACCAAGTCATAATTTTCATTTAAAAAGTTGAATAAAAAATAGAAAATAACAGTCATTATGTCATTGTGATACGAAAAGTCAAAATTATAATAGTTAAAAGTAGGTGATAAAAATCACACAAGTATAATAAAAAAAGTCAATCTCATGACATACAAAGCAAAACCTGATAAAACATGAGAATCGAGACAGAAATATTTATTTCTATTTCTTTATTTCAAGAAAACAAGAGTCTACGTACATTTAGGAAAGATCGCATTGCAAAAACATCAAATGGCTCATAGCATCACAAACCAAACCCAGTTCAATATTAACTATGAGAAGACATTTGTGCAATTTAAAATATCTGTAATCTAAAAAAAAAAAAAAATCACCAAAGGATAGAAAGAAAACAATTCAGTAGAAAGATAACAGTTTGGTTTCTGTGTTTGTAGTGAATAGTCTATAGTCTTCCTCTGGCTTTAAATGGTCCTGTTTGTTTGACCTGCAAACATTTAACAGTGAACACCTGAGGGACAGGAAGCAGACCTTACTGTGAGTCCATGAGGTTTTTTGGTATTTCAAGGTGAGTTACACTAAATGTACTATTTCCAGACTTGAAATGTTCTTTAATATGTTTTACTGTTGAAAGAAATGAACTTCCTGTGGATTTTGTCTAGATAGAACAGTTAGAAGATCCCTAAGAGAGTCACTGTCAGAGGAGGTATATCAGGAATATTTGAACTGTGTTGATCCATAAAGAGATCAGAGGCTAAAGGGCCATGGTGAAGGAAAAAATAAGAGATGGGAGGAAAAAAAAAAAAATCATTTGTCGCTAAAAATTTTACGTCCCCCGAGAAACTTTGCGTTCGCTCCCAAAAGGTTTTTAATTTCCCCGAGAAAATTTGCGTTCGCTCGCTAAATATTTTGCATTCCCCAAAAAAGTTTGCGATCGCTCGAGAAACTTTTTGCGTCCAATGAGAAATATTGTGTTCACTCCCTAAATATTTTGAGTTCCAGCTTTGCATTCGCTCGCGAAAAAGGTTGTGTTCCCCAAGAAACTTTGCGTTCGCTCGCTTAACATTTTGTGTTCAATAAGAAAGTTTGCGTTCGCTTGCGAAACATTTTGCGTTCAATGAGAAACTTTGCGTTCGTTAGCTAAACGTTTTGTGTTCCCAGAGAAAGTTTGCGTTTGCTCGCTAAACATTTTGCGTTCAACGTGAAACTTTGCGTTCGTTAGCTAAACCTTTTGTGTTCAACGTGAAATTTTGCGTTCGCTCGCGAAACATTTTGCGTTCAATGAGAAACTTTGCGTTCGTTAGCTAAACGTTTTGTGTTCCCCGAGAAAGTTTGCGTTTGCTCGCTAAACATTTTGCGTTCAACGTGAAACTTTGCGTTCGTTAGCTAAACCTTTTGTGTTCAACGTGAAATTTTGCGTTCGCTCGCGAAACATTTTGTGTTCAACGTGAAATTTTGCATTCATTAGCTAAACGTTTTGTGTTCAACGTGAAATTTTGCGTTCGCTCGCGAAACATTTTGCGTTCAACGTGAAATTTTGCGTTCGCTCGTGAAACATTTTGTGTTCAATGAGAAACTTTGTGCTAGCTCACGAAACGTTGCGTTCCTCAGAAAAACTATGCACTCACTTTCTGTTCCCATGAGAAACGTTGCGTTCGCTCGCGAAACATTTTGCGTTCAATGAGAAACTTTGCGTTCGTTAGCTAAACGTTTTGTGTTCCCCGAGAAAGTTTGCGTTTGCTCGCTAAACATTTTGCGTTCAACGTGAAACTTTGCGTTCGTTAGCTAAACCTTTTGTGTTCAACGTGAAATTTTGCGTTCGCTCGCGAAACATTTTGCGTTCAACGTCAAATTTTGCGTTCGCTCGTGAAACATTTTGTGTTCAATGAGAAATTTTGTGTTGGCTCGCGAAACGTTGCGTTCCTCAGAAAAACTATGCAGTCACTTTCTGTTACCATGAGAAACGTTGCGTTCGCTCGCGAAACATTTTGCGTTCAATGAGAAACTTTGCGTTCGTTAGCTAAACGTTTTGTGTTCCCCGAGAAAGTTTGCGTTTGCTCGCTAAACATTTTGCGTTCAACGTGAAACTTTGCGTTCACTCGCGAAAACTTTTGTGTTCAACGCAAAATTTTGTGTTCGCTCGCGAAACATTTTGTGTTCAATGAGAAACTTTGTGTTAGCTCGCGAAACGTTGCGTTCTTCAGAAAAACTATGCACTTTCTGTTCCCATGAGAAACGTTGCGTTCGCCCGCTAAACATTTTGCGTCCCACAAGAAACTTTGCGTTCACTTTCTGTTCCCCTGAGAAACTTTGCATTTGCTAACAAAATGTTTGACTTTGAGTTTGCACTCTTTCGCCTTTTTTCTATCACCATATCTCTTTAGGAAGAATGTAAGATAAAAGCAAAGACCTTTTTTTACCATAACAAATGAAGATTCATCTCGCTCTGCACCTCATATAAAGAACAATAAAATAACAACATATTCAGTGAAATGCAAAGTCAGCTCGAGACGTTTAATACGTTACGGATAAGAGTGCTACCGCTGAAGAAACTCAACTAAACGCAACGCACCACAGCCAGGAAAAGTGAGGTTAAAGATGTCGTGATAGTGAGGTAGAAACACTGAGTATGTAAACAAGAACACTGAATAGAAATCCTTACTAAAATACAGAAGGAAAAGTATCCAGTTTACAGGAGAAATATAGCCTATTGTGACCTAAAATGTATGTTCTTTAACCTTGAATGTGAACACTTTTTATAATTAAAATCTGGTGTGTTTGTGTCAAACAGTACGGAGGACTATCAAGCTACATCAATGGTTTCTATAGAAACAGAATCTTGCAGTGTTCCGTGTATAAAATTCCATAAAGTGAATTCAAACTGTTCCATTCCAACGGAACTAAAACATTCCATATATCCGTTTTTGATGTGAAATTAGACACTTTGCTACAATAATGTGAACATAAAAAACCAAGATTAACAGCAACAACGTTTGATCCCTCACCAATTCATTATTTAGAAAACATCAACTCTCCAGTCTGCATAGACAGTAAAATAATCTCCTGGTTAAACGGCGTTCGTACAAAAAAAAAAAAAAAAGTGTCATTTTTTTATCTACACCTGATCTGTATTTTGATAGATGATAAATGACACGCACACACACACAAAAAGAAATTATGCGACAGGAACTTCCATGGATCCTGTCAAATGAACTCAAATCAAACCAAAGTTCAATACCTCTCACATTTTTGCTAATGTTAAAACCAATATTATTAGCATGGAAATAACATCGCGACATTTCAAATAAAACAAAATCATTTGAAACATCTTTAAAAAAACTAAACTAAAATAATAAGAACCATCCAAATACTTTCTTAGAAAAAGAAAAGTGAAAATAAGGCACAACGGTGATTTAAATTGTGTGTTTTTTTCCAGAAGTGCTGTTGTTCGGGTCAGAAACATTCATTCCTACAGGAGAGACGGGGTCGCTATGTACCCAGTTGTTCACATTACATCGTTCACAGTAAGTCTTTATGGTTGTGAGCTTTATAATAACTTCCTTCTCTGTCATCCCGTGAATATTTTAGAGCATTCAACAACGCTCGATCAATCCTAGCGCTGCATTATCAAAGTATTTACATCTATACTGTCTGGTAAAAGGTAGTTTCAGCGGATATGCTTGTTCGAGGACATAGTGCAACGTGGTGTGTGTCGAAATCTGGTCCAGAACAACAGCACGACTCACACAGCAGAGAACGAGAGGGACGTGAGATCATTGCTGGAGAGATCTAAGAGTCAGTTTGGAAGACTTGTATCTGGAATCCGATGCACTGGAGTAGAAAAACGGCGTGTTATGAAAGATACCTGCATAGCATTTCCACGTGATGGGTCTTTAATGTAGAGGTCGAGACTTTTCTTTTCACTTCTGCTTTCTGGAAGTGAGAACAAGAGAAATTTCACAGTTCCGAGGATTCCTTGTGATTTTCTTTCCATCGGCGAGCAATTCTACTCTGCAAACCTGTAGAGAGAGCAAAACAAAACTTACTCAACCAAACACATCCAACAAAACCCATTTCAAATCATAATAATGATAAAAAAGTCGCAATTAGGACATAAAAAGTCAAAATTATGAAATGCTAAGTAATAATTATGATTTAAAAATGCTAAATTATGAAATAAAATGATAAATCAAATCGTTTTATCATCAATTTCAATTTTTAATCTCATAATTATTACTTTTTTTGGCATATTGAAATTTATCATTTCAATTTTGAATCTCTCAGTTATCATAATAATATCAAATTTTATTTCATATTTTAAATAAATTACTTTTTAAATAAATCGTTTTATCATCAATTTCAATTTTTAATCTCATGATTATTACTTTTTTTGGCATATCGAATTTTGTCATTTCAATTATTATCATCAATGTCATTTTCAATCGTTTTATCATCAATTTCAGTTTTTAATCTCATAATTATTACTTTTTTTGGCATATCGAAATTTATCATTTCAATTTTGAATCTCTCAGTTATCATAATAATATCAAATTTTATTTCATATTTTAAATTTTAAATAAATTACTTTTTAAATAAATCGTTTTTTCATCAATTTCAATTTTTAATCTCATAATTATTACTTTTTTGGCATATCGAAATTTATCATTTCAATTTTGAATCTCTCAGTTATCATAATGATATAAAATTTTATTTCATATTTTAAATAAATTACTTTTGTTGGTAACACTTTACAATATGGTTCATTAGTTAATGTAAAACATTAAAACATTACCTAACCATGAGCAATACGTTTGTTACTGTATTCGTTAAACTTTGTTCATGTTAGTTAATAAAAATAAAGTTGTTTGTACATTTTACTTCACAGAGCATTAACATTAACAAACATTAATGAATTCTGTATAAGTGCAGTTCATTATTAGTTCATGCTAACTAATGTAGTTAAGTATTGAACCTTACTGTAAATTGTTACCGTTTTGTCATAATATCAAATTTGCACAAACTGCAGATAAATGCACACATAACTTATCGGAAAGCTAATTCAGCGTGTGATACTGCAGTAAATAGAGCAAACACTAGGGCGAGACTGACATGCACATGACCATCATTGATCAGGCGGTTCTGCAGACGGCTATCTGACCTGAACACAATAACATCGGGCTGCTGACATCAGCACTCCTCAAATGAAGGCCATTGATATATTCTACAGGCCTTGCTGTTGTTGTTCTCCTAGTGTTTCTAATCCGGGGTCCATGTGTCGGACGCTTGGCAAGTAAATGATTCACTGATGTCATCCAAGCTGTTTCTGCATCAGATCCGATTTCATCCTCGGCCAACTATGGCGGTACGCTAATCCGATAATGCTGTTCGTGTCCGTATAATTGTTTTTGCAAGTTTGACCCGATCGAGTTTATTTCACAGAGACTGAGCCAGGATATATTCCACAAAAGAATTACATAAAGAAAACGGAGTGAATATTGGGTTATAATCAGGGGTGTCTGTAACTGTAAAAAATAAACGATGCGCAGCAGACAACGTGAAGGGAAATAACATTTTTGGGGACAGGGACACGTTTGTTTACCAGAACATGATATGATATTATTAGAGGTGCAACCATAGACTGTAAAAAAAAGATGGACGACCCTTTCGCTCTCGTCCATCGCCATAGATATATACACTAGACCTCACCTTGGGGTTCTACGCATGCGTCAAAACAGCCGCCATCTTGGAACAGGGGTCTTGTCATAGGAAGTAGCTAGGTAACGCTGCTATCTCTGCCTTTACTTCGAATTCATTGATGGTGGCGGACTTTTGTGCAGCGTATGATGTTCACGGATGAAATCTGAACTAGGAAGAATGTAAAAAAAAAATTAAAAAAAAATTCTTTCTGAAATCAATGATAAATACATGTCTGACCATTGGAACAAACCAAAAAAACAAGAAAAATCGCATTCATGATGATTTATGGTGATTTAATTTCCCTTAGACCTGTGTCTACTACATTGACACTGATGCATTAAAGTGGAGGGGCTCCCCTGTTTCAAGATGGCGGCTCTATCGACCCATTCGTTCCAATGAACTGCCGTAGCCAAGGTGAGGTCTAGTGTATATGTCTGTGGTCCATAGCGTGCCGAAGTTACGACGTCACTCTGTAGGCCGAAACGCGGAAGTGAGTTAGCATTCTAGCACTTCCGGTTCCCTCGCCCTAAAGTCTATGGGTTTTTTGAATGGGTTTTTGCTAAATCGCCTGAAATAAGGTCTGTGGTGAACAAAGCCACAGAGTAAGCCAACATTGTCACTATTTCTGAACCACAGTCCATTATAAACCACATCATGGATAAAGTTTACAAAGCCAGTCAGGTGAGGATCAAGGGTTTTAATATATAATATAATACACTGTAAAAAAAAAAATATTGTTGGTTTAACTTAAAAAAGTAAGTAACCTGGGTTGCCTTAAGTTGATTGAACTGGAAAAAGTGAGTTAATACAATGAAGGAGATTAATTTAATCATCAGAAACTCAAAATAATAAGTTATCTCAACTAAATAAATTATTATAAAGTTGATTTGACAAAAGAAAATACGTTGTGATAACAAATCTTGAAAATATTTTTTTACAGTGTAATAGTAATCCGCTGATTGTCTCACAAAAGTAACCAGCACGTTTGTCCCCACATAGCAAACCCATAATACAGCGAGGGAGATGAACCACAGGAAACTATGCAACTATGTATTATTTCTAACAGGGTAGTAAAAGTTTAGCTGGCTAATATGATCCTGAGGCTGAGCTGGGTAAAGCGTAAGCCTTGTTTGATCTCGATGTCTCAGTCTAAGGTGATAAAAACATTACGTTAAAACTTATGAATGTCATATTGCATTTCTGTTCATTTATACTAAACATTTTTACACAATGCACCTTTAACACCAAAAGAGAGTTTTAATGTTTTTTTACAGTGCACAAATGACTTCAGTGTCACATCTTACATTGACTTATTTTTAGTTTGCGATGGGTTTTAGGCCATTCTTCTACTGATAGATAAAAAAAAGAACTCACCAAACCAGTTTAACAATCAAAAAAGCAAGCTCTGATTGTAAAAGTGTGCTAAAAACATGGAAAAACTGTCTGTTTTTAGAACAATTATCACCTTAAAGATATTCCAGCTTACATAAAAGTCTGTAAACACTCGCTCGCTCCTTATAATCCTGGAAAACAACCCCCACCCCCAGTTTTAAATGTTGTGAAATGGGATGTTTTATAATGCCTTTTTTACATTTAGTTCTGTTCGGATCAAAACTTGAATGTTGTCCCGTTAGTTTTCGCATAAACACTGATTTTCTGCTCAGCTCTGCTACTGTGTGTGTGATCAACACGACATGGCTGTCGGAGAACAGACACAGAGAACACACTGTACCTTATATTACAGCTGCACTGCACTCAATGACCCGCTTATATAATGACCATGAACACAGATACAACACGCCACACACACTGATGACAGATGAGCGCTCTTACATCTGCAAAAGGTATATTTATAAAAGGTACCAAATACAACTTGCAAACTGGCTGCTTTATTTTACAGTATACTGACTTCTAAAACCATTCAATGTATTTGAATTATCTTCATTTTAGGCTTTTCTCAGCAAGTATTGATATATAGACAATTCATTTGGATTAATCATATTAATTAGCACTAGCAGTGATTATTTAATTGGTTAAAATGTTTAATCAAACTCACCCATAATAATAATAATAACAGATAAAATAATTTAAATAAATTAATACAAATATTGTTTTTAAAAAAATCATTAAAAATAAACAAATGAATAAAAATGTACATAAAACATTATTATCGATATGAATGAATGTAATATAATAATAATAATTATTATTACATAGGCCTACATTTAAAATATCAAAAAAATATAAAGTATTTTAGCAATATTTTTTATTGATATTTAATACTAATTATTGATATGAATATAATTTACATATTGGTACACATTACATGTATTGTAAAAAATAATATAATTAAAAAATAATAATAATAAAGTTACAATATATAAATTATTATATATTGTAATTTTTTTTGGTACATATTTGTAAAAAATAATATAATTAAAAATTAATAATAATAAAGTTACAATATATAAATAATAAAAAATATAAATAAACATATTAATGTTTAAGTAATAAACGTGTTGAAATAATAAATAATAAACATTATTGAGCCATATTTCAAATCACAACGATTCAGCAGATTTGTGAATAGTGACAGTACACACAGTAGCAATGGCACACAGGCAAAGAACAAAATGTTCTGAACATGAGTCAAGAGCGAAGCCATAGACCCCCTCAGTGTCTCAGGGCCTAAAATGTGTGTGTGCGCGCTTCGGGACGGGAGGTTGGAGGGCTTAAGGAGCACGTCTGAAAGCGCTCTGGGTGTAAATACGCAAAAGGACCCCCTCTCAACCCACTAAGACAAACAGGTCGACCCACGGCTCACTCCCAGGCCTGCTCGTTTTGGACGGATGGATGCATCCATTCAAGGCCGTCGGGGAGAGGAGGAGTGTTGCGTAACTGCTCTATATGCTCACTGAGGCCATAAACCCCTGATGCACGAGTCACGTACACGTTCACATCCTTTGACATCAAACAAGCCGCCGTCTTCACTGCATTTCACTGGAGATGGCGCCTTTTCTCCTGGTTAAATAAAGGTTATAACGACGATGCGTGCTAGTCTGAATGAAGTCATTGTTTTAGTACAAACCGGCTGTGGTATGTTCTAGCCTCCGGACAACAATGAAGCCAGTTTTGATTAAAATTGGGCTATAAAGTGGCTTCAAAATGCATTTAATTTCCTCTGGCCTTTTCAGTTGAACCTCATCCAATGCAAAATCCATAAAAGAATGCAATAAACACAGCGGGAACGACATTCCGGTGTTACTGATGTTGTGTAACAATTGGTTCCCAACCAAAACATTGAAGCACCTGGTTGGGAGTATTAAGAAGACAGCATTTTAAAGTTATAAAATACTACACTGACTTTACTTCTAATGACATGTGACAATGTAATATATTTAAATTATAATTTTCTTTAGAAAAAATGAATTATATAAACAATTAATTAGATTATTCAGCATTTTATTTAATTTGCTTAAAATGTTTTTTTTTTAAATCGACAGCCTTAGATTTGAATAAAAGGAAAGTTAGAGGAAAAACATAATAAATATTATTTTTACTGAAATATTATTATTCGTTATTACATTAACAGCACACTCAATAAATAAATAAATAAATAACTTTAGATAAAATTACAAATAAAATAAAAGGTTATTATTAATTAAAAAATAATAATCATTAATATAAACATAAATTGATATTAAATATTATTAATTTGAATGAATGAATACAATTCAGAAGAAAAACATAATAAATATAATTTTTTCTGAAATATTATTATTACTCTTTCAGCGAATTTGTAATCATCCAACATAAACAGCAAACTTATATATAAATAAATGACTTTAGATAAAATTACATATAAATAAATATTTAAATATAAATTAATAGGTTATTATTCATTAAAAATAATGAACATTAATATAAACATACATTGATATTAAATATTATTGATTTGAATGAATAAATGAATGAATGCAATTCACTTTTTAACACATTACAATACTTGTGTACTTGGTGTGAATTACTGAAAGTGTGAATATTTTTATAAATCAGATTATTCAGCATATTATTTAACTTAATTAAAATGATTATTTGAATGCTGAATTGACAGCCCTAGATTTTTATAAAGGAAATTAGAGGAAAAAATATAATAGCTATAATTATTATTGATTCAGCAAATGTAATAATCTTCCAACATGAACAACAAACCAATAAATAAATAGCATACATTTAGATAAAATCAAATAAATAAACGTAATAATTGTTATTAATAATAAATTAATAAAACAAAAGAAATACACATTAGGAGAACATTGATAATAAACTTAGTAATTCACACTGTTATTCACTGTAGTGTGAATTCCCGAAAGTGCGAAAAAGCAGAAATAGTATAATTCCTAAAATTAAAAAGCCTAAATATAGCTACAGTAAAATATAATAAAATTTAAAAAATTATATCGAATGACTTGCATTCAGGAAATGCATTCAATTTCCTCTGACAGTTTCAGTATAAACTCATCCAATGCAAAATCCATAAAAAAAAAAAAGTGCAATAAACTATTATACCGGAATGCGTAATGCCATTCCGGTTTAATAAATGGATGCAACCCAAGAAACAAAACGCACCTGGTTGGGCGTATGCCGTGTTTCACACATTCATGGTATCGCCCCTGGCCGCATGCATTCTGCAGCTGAAAAGGTGTCGGATCTTGTTAATCAAAATGTTGGTAGGAACTCGGGGCGTGGCGTTGGTAAACAAACAGGCCTGTGAGACGAGTGAAGGGTAGAGCGTGGCAGGCTCGCAGGGTACATGTTACCCCTGAGGCCATATACCGACTCTACGTAGGGTTGATTAGAGAAATACAAAGCAGCTGGAAGGACAAGAAATTCTAGAATAGGCAAAGAACTCTGGGAAGCAAACTCAGATCGTAATCAATTTGGCACCTGAGAGCACTTTAACACGTAGATAAATGTATATTTACATCATAGATAGACTGTTAAAAAGATGGACGACGCACCATCAAGCCTTGTGTATAGCTACTCGCCGCGTCCGCAAGAGCGTAGGGCGAGCGGCAGAAATTACGTCATTGCGGTGTGTTTTGGCGGTGGTGCGCGTAAGGTGCACAAGACCAAGACCCCATATCGCCTGGCGGTGTGCACGGCACTTTTTATAACATTTTCCGTGGCGCCGCATCCGAAGATGAACAACGCAACGGTGCGTGTCCACTACAGCGGCTCAGTGCCGCTGGCAACCATAAATATCTATATAAAGGCTAGATGTCTTGAGGCGGAGTTTCTATCGTCATCACCGGCGGCCATCTTGTCACAGGCAAGTTGATGTAAGATAAGTCAGCACGAACACAAAATACTCTTATCTCGTTGAAATCTTGACGGATTTACAAATGGTTTGGTTTCTTACAAACGTTATTAACGTGGCTATAATTATCTGGATGATTATTTATTTATACACTTATTATTCATAAGTATGCTGTGTCATAACTACATCTCTGACGATTATAACAAACCAAACCGTTTGAAAATCAGTAGAAAATTGAGCAAGTTATGATTATTTAAATAGTACATGTACCATTAACACAATGTTACGAGTGAGCGAGCTGACTGTGACAAGATGGCCGCCAGGTGCAGACGTCGAGCTCCATTGGCCAGCAGTGTGGACGAGATATCTAGCCTTTATATAGATATCTATGCTGGCAACGCTATAACGTCTCCGCTTTGGGGTGTGTCTGTTGCGAGTGTGTTTTTCCAACATACACACAGTATAATCATCAGAGATGCACGCGATTACATTCGGAAATAGACAAGCTTTGTTTACATAAATGCCCCAAGCAAAGATATCATAAACTTTTATAAACCCAGCCAGTATAATCACAATGAACACATCCAAAATGAATTATTTAACATATAACAACTGCCAAGCGTCTAATTTGTAAACAAAATAATTTACGCACTAAATCCAGCCTAAACTCCGGGACAATTTGCATATTTTAAAAATCTCAAAACAGAAGTCACATCCCAAACCGCACATCAATTGGCTGCCGACCGCATTTTTCGCTTGATATTTGCATAAAGTCGAGAACTGCCCAACCTTTTGACGCTCTCAACGCTTTCACCGGTCCGCTGTCAATCCCAAAATGCACTACGCGAGCGCGAAGCTCGGCTTCCATAGGAATGAATTGAAAAGCGCACCGATATTCGTCCCGGTGTGTACAGCTTGTTTTCGTGCATTATGTGATTTTTAAACTGGACTGAGGTAAACAAAAATGGTGAACACAACATTTCTGTCAGGACCACTATCGTCAAATACGATTGACAATTAGCATACAGTTTGGGTTGGCGGGGTGGTTCTGTTCTGGGCAAGATCTCCATGCGCATCCATGCAACACTTAGGGTAACAACAGAACCATCATTCTCATTAATAAAGATTTTAATGTACAACATATTAGATAATTTATTCTGATTCAAACTGGGGAATCAGAATGCCAAATCCTGAGTCTGACTGACGAGAGGAGCTGGGGATGTAGGAAGCTCCTGAGAAACGCGATCGCTGCTGATAATACTGAAGGCGCTTAGATATGTATACAGTGATAGTGTATTCCTATAGGTAGATCAGCTGATACGAGCTTGACTAACGTGACCTGCCAGAAGTGTTTAATGTTTAAAATTATTATCAAGAAATCGCAACCCACCTGAAAGAGCAAGCATGCTCGTTTTGGCCAATCACGTTGGCTTATCCCGCACATGTGACTTGGTCCATTCTGGCTTCCAGCTGAAACGCGTCGGGCCGGTCCTGCGGGTTGACCGCCAACATGTCCTGCAAAAGCCGCTTGACGCCCTCCGACATGATACTGCGTGTCCTTTGCGGGATATGCAGGATCATCTTCGGGTTCTCCAGCAAGGCCTCGCCCACCGGGACGATCTCGGTTCCCTGGCGAACGTACGTGCCGAGGAGCTCTCGCTTGGATTCGGCGTCGATAAACGTGATGCGTTCTACCATGGCCCAAATGATGATGCCGAGCGCGAAAATGTCCGCCTTGGCGGTGTAATGGCCCTCCCACACCTCCGGTGCCATGTAGAAGTCAGAACCGCACGCCGACGACAGCCAGAACTTATTAATGTTCACCATGTTCTTGTTAACACGGTTGTCGCCGTCGTCGTTCTCAATGTAGCCGAGTCCCGCGCACACCTTGCTGAGGCCGAAGTCGGCGACCTTAATCACGGGACCATCCGATTTCTGCGAGATGAGAATGTTGTCTGGTTTGAGGTCCCGGTGGACAATGTTGTTCTTATGGAGGAAGGCCACGGCGCTGGTCAGCTGCTTCATGAAACTGCGGTTGGTCCGCGGATCAGGTCTTCGGGAGAGGATGTACTGGTTGAGGTCGCCACCATCGCAGAACTCCATTACAAACCAAAGATAACACGGTTCCTCTGGGTGACCCAAGATCCGCTCACCTGGAATGATAGTAGAATGTGGGAATTATGCAATGAAAATGCACTGGTTGACATTGAATGCTGAAATCTGCAGTTAATTGTTGTGCATAACTACAGTAGTCTTGAAGTAGTCTACAGGTTGGAAGCGGAATAGTCCAATAATTTAGACTAATGAACTAATTTGCGGGCATCAGGAAGACGCTATAAATATGCGGGAGACTCCCGGAACTTCCGGGAGACTTGGTATGTCTGCAATAGAGCCAGACCGATTTATCGGTATTAACGATATTATCGGCCGATATTGGGCATTTTCCAAACTATCGATATCGGCAGTTATAATGGCCGATAAATTAATATTTCAAAAATAAAATAAAAACGGACGAAACACGCTTCAAAAATTTCACGAGTGTTGCAGATGTATAGTTTGTCCACCAGAGGGCACCCTGTTGGCAACACTCGTGTATAACACGCCACACATCCTGCAACCCGCTGATCCAGCCATGGTTTGATGTAGCTTGATGGAAAGAATTTAAAAAAGTGCAGGTAAAGGGATAAGCAAGGGATAAGTAAGGTAGCTTATAAGGCAATGTAGGGACTAATTATTATTTTATTTATCAGAACTTTAATATATTTTGATGTTCCTGTTCTGTTGTGACAATAAAAGAAACGAGTTTCTTTTTAAAATGCATTATCATATTAGTTTAGTTAAAACTCATGAATAACTTGAAATAACTATTGTTAGGGAAATCTGTTAATGTTTTGTTGCACGTTTCTGATTTTTTTTTTTTTTAATAATCGGCCGATATATCGGAATATCTGATATTAAAACCAACAAATATTTGTATCGGTATCGGCTTTCAAAATCCTTTATCGGTCGGGCTCTAGTCTGCAATGGCCACAGACAATTTGAGGAAGTGTTGGGGGAAGTGACGTATGCCGTAAAGCAGTCGAATTTTGTAGTTCTTTTTGTGCTACCCGAAGTTACATAGTGCAAGTAAAAGCGATACAGACCACGTCAGGCTATGGCAGACGTGTCATTTAACCTACTGTAAGTCGATGTACCATCACAAGGCTCTTGGAAATATTATGAAGTTTGAAAAACTACATAGTGCTACTTTAACTTTTTTGAAGAGTCAAAGTTGTAGTTGGTTAGGCAGTCAACGGAGGGACCGAAATCACTCAGATTTCATCAAAAATATCGCCATTTGTGTTCCGAAGATGATCTAAGTCGTTCGGGTTTGGAACAACATGATTTTGGGGTGAACTAACCTTTTAAGAAAGTAAACGGGGTCAATTTTAATTTCATGTTGAGCAACTAACAATTTCTTTTGCCTTTTTAGTTGCTCCATGCTTTCAAAGCATAAAGTCCCAATTTAAAGATTCAAAGAAAACAATGGTGGACAACAATGTGCTCCACAGGAGAGTGTCAGAACTAGCCTTTATTGTAAACCACAGGATGGTAGCAAATCAAGCTCACTCCACTCCATAATCAACTCATGTGCTTCAGTTGAGCTATTTCTGCTGAGTTAGGCCAAACATCACTTCATTGAATGTTTCTGGTCTCTAACTGACACTGATAAGCCGTTGTGTCAGACTCATTCGCAAACAGAGACGGTTGTGTTTGAGCAAACCCAGTTCTGTTCAAACTACAGTGGCTTTACTGTCCAAACCAAAGCCTTCAACAAAGAGTGTTACGGCAAAGTGCTGCTTTAGCTAATGCCAATCGACTAGCAAAACACCAATCAGATTTTAGCTGAGCACAGATTTCCTCTGAGCGACACGTTTGGACCCTTTCCAAAGACTGTATGAGGCTAAGCATTGATAATCTGCCATGCGTTCTGTAATAACCAACATAGCTTAACTTCAGGAAACAAGGGTTGGGAAATGCATGGAAAACAGGTGGACTGTGACCTATGGAGGTATAGCAACTTATAAACACTTAGGTAAAGGAAACACTTGGGAACGTGTTTCCTATAATACTAAAATCTAGGTCTAATGAAGAAGGATTTCTCAAACTGGGGTTAGCAAATTTTTATAAACCGCGAAATTTAATTGATTTTTGACTTATTTTGAATAGTAACAATAGTGCCCCATTATGCTTTTTTTATGATCTTTAATTCATGCAGTGTGTAATATATCTGTTTGTCACAGTAAAAGGTCTGCAGTGTTTTAAAAATTAAAGTGCACGACAAATGAAAGAAATAATCAATTTCTGACTGAATCTTTGAACAAACCGTTTTCAAACTATTTGAGAAATTAAGTGATGATATGCAATATATATTATAAGATATAATGTATAATAATGAAAGTGTTTTTGAACTTTGATGCATGTAAACCTATTGTAGGAGAAAATTAGGACCCTTTAAAATATCATTAGGGCTCTTTAAATGACACCAGAGACACATGAACACGCAAATGTTTAGTTAAATTATTGATATATTACATTTAAATTACTGAGGGTAAAAGAAGGAGAAAGAAAAGTTTGGGAATCTCGGATATAAAGTAAGGTGCGATCTATAAATTTGTTCAATTTGACCGAACTGACATGATTACAGGTCACAAACTCAATATTCTGGCCTATTCGATACAGACATGACTGACATATATGACGTATTTGTCAAAAAAACATTATATAACCCAATAATCCATCAGCAAAAACATTTATATTTGGAACATTTCTAAAGAAGGCTGTAACATCAGGATTAGTTTTCCATTGTAGACGAGGCCACTAAATGGTGGCACTTACATAACACCACCAGTCAGCACAAAATAGATCCTGCAACTGCTGAGCACAACCACAAATATAGCACTCACACGCAACGCACTGTCACCTCAACACACCAAACGCCAACATCACATTCATATTGTGCCATTTTGAAAATGTATCAAATTATTCACAAAATCCCCTTTAAAATTGTTTTAAATGGAGTACACCAATAGGACGTGTAAAATATTTCAAAATTTCATCTAGCCTATAATGATCAACTATGATCATGGGATATCAGGGAATTAAAAAATATATTTACAGGCCCCGAAAAGTCAAAGAAAATAATAAAATTGTAAACATGCATGAAATAAAAACATGGACATTTCAATTGCTATAAAACATAAAATGAGCTAGAAATGTGTTATGTGGGATTGCAACGGCTTAAAAATACATTTTTTATCCTGTGAATGTCTTTAAAAGTACTTGCACTCTGCACCTTACAGCAGAGTTTAATCTGATTTTGGTAATGCAAATAACAATATTTTTAAACCTACTGGAAAACTAATGGGCTTGAAGTTTTAAAAATTGCATACAATGCCAAGAGGTGTACATAGATATGACCTGTATGGGAGTGAAGGGGTTAATGCATTTAGGGTGCTGGAACATGATGTTCCCTCATGAACAGACTGTCTTCTTCCTTCTTTGTGCCTTCATGATATGCATTTAAGATGCACAATAAAATCATAAAGGGTTTGAATGCTGATGCATGCATATTATTAAAAGTGCAATTGCTTTTACGCAACATTCATTTGTATTACAAAGCAAAAACAATGTTGTGTTGACAAGATAGTTTAGTTCACCTTATGAACAGTGCCAATGCTTTCAAGAAGCTAACATACAGCTACAGAGAAACTGTATTTACCTTTCAGTGAAGTTTCCACTAATCTCAAATACTGCTTGTTTCGCTTGTTTCCGTGGCTCATTTTCTGTGCCATCCCGTTTCTTTGCAACACACACTCCTCCAGCTGCACCACATTCTCGTGCTTCTTCTCCAGGCTCGCCAGGGCCCAGAACTCAGCCAGCGCTAGCTCCACTTTCTCTGGCGCGTCGCAGCGGAGCTTCTTCACGGCCACCCGGGCTCCGGTCCTGCGGGCGACGGCTTCATACACCACGCCGTAGCTCCCGCGACCCACCTCCCGAATCAGACTATACCGGGGCGCCGAGAACAGCGTCGCGAGCTCCCGGTTGGCACTCTTAAGGAAGCCCGTGGAGAAGCAGTCCTCTTCTTCCATGGGCTCATCATCATCGTTGGTCTCCACGGGAAGCGGGCGCAAAACTTTACTGACATCCCGCCTCATGTTCGCGATGGGCGGCTCGACTCTCTTGCAGCCCCGCCGGAGGCTCGTTATTCTCCCCTGTGTGCCGTTGCGAAGCTCCATGAGTTTATTACCCCCTGTGTTGACACATGTTTCGGGGCAATAATCCTATTTGTCATAACGTCCCTATCTAGCTGGCTGTGCTCGTTTTTTTTGTTTTTTGTGGGGGGTAAACTCGACAGGTTTGGGTGTAGATTTGTTTTGTTTTTGTCACTTCTTCTATCAAACGTCCAACTGACATAAACAATAACAACATTAACAGGAGAACGCAAAGGGGGCGTGGCCTCGGCGGACTGTTCCATTTCATTCAAAAGACGGGTGGGATTTTTCAAAGCTTTTTAAACAATATCTAGCAATTTGTTTTTCAGAGTTGATTTAAATGCATATATTCTATATTTTAGATTATTATATATTAGAAATTACTTTCTAAATCGCATGTCAACCTCGAGCAGTAGATCAATACTAGGATAGACATGAAACTGCTCTTTTAATTCTTGTCCAAAAAAAAAAAAAAATCCTATAAAATTGCAAACATTATTCTTGAACTGACCTAAGTGTGTAAAGGGAGAACGTTACATAAAAAAATACTTTTTAACATTGGATGTTGATGTTAAATACACTATTGTTTAAGAATGGGCTTTATGCCCAGCTGCACTACTTCCTGAACTTCAGCCAGCTTCTTGTTTCCTGTCTGCCATTGTTGGCCAAATTGATTAATTCAGGTGTGTCTGATGATTGTTGCCATGACTACTGAGGTCAAGCACACCTGAATTAATCAATTTGGCCAATAATGGCAGACAGGAAACAAGGAGCTGGTTGAAGTTCAGGAAGTAGTGCAGCTGGGCATAAAGCCCATTGTTCAATAGTCTGTACAGTAGGCCTTTTTAATCCATTTATATCAGAACTGTAATTAAATTAGACTGCATAAAAACTAAAAGTAATCCCTTTTTTTGAACAAAAATTTGAACTTGATATCATATATCAGTTTGTATTAATAGAATTGTACAGCATTTTTGTAAGTGATTGTAAGTGGACTGACTCATTAGCTGAAGACAAAATAATAAAATGAAATGAAATATTGTGTCCACTAAAACCATACAATATATATATATATATAAAATATGTAAAAGATAGATATCGAATAATAAAATAAAGATACAGTTACTTATTTTGTCTATGTGTGGAAAAAGTTATTTTTTTTAATTCAGAATGATTATACATTATGGGACACAAAAGGATATTCATAGATGTATCATATATATATATATATATATATATATATATATATATATATATATATATATACATACATACATACATATGGTTAAACAAAAGCGTCATTCTGCATTCTGCAATATGCAAAGTAGGAGGATCCCACCTCTCCGTGATAGGGGGGAGGAAATTGGAATTGAAACAGCATATTTGCGCTGAATTTGAAATTGATAACAGTGAAATTCATCAAACATCAACTTAAAAAAAAAAAAAAAAAAACAACAACAAAGATTGCCTCATGAAATGAAAGGAGAGTGTATCGGTGTGAGTTGATGGTGTGCGGTGGCACGTGAGGTGGGGCAGGAGGAGGGCACGTGCGGTACAGCATGTTCCCTCAGACACGGACACTGCCCCTGACGTCATCGAAGACATGTAGCATATGTATTCATACACCTAACCTGTGTCTCAGAAGAGGTTCATTGTGCTTTGTTTTTGTCCTCCTTTGTTTTTATGATACACGTTTCTCTTAACCAATGATGTTGTGCAGAGTGATATTTATATCGGGTCATTTATCATTGATTTATTCAGATATACTCAGACTTATTTTTCCTTTTCATCGTAGGTAGCCTAACATGTATATTCATTAATTGCATATTTTGCATGCAAGGCATCACAATTGACTGCACCTTGTAAAGTGATGAATTAATTATTTCCCAATTTATTTTATTGCACAATCCCCCAGCCTGGCTCGTTGGTCTGGGAACCACATGCACAATTTCTCGTATTTGAGGCGTGGTTTATGAATGCCCGGCCCCGTTTATTGGGTGCTAAGAATGTCTATCAAATGCGCCTGTAGTACGTAGATCATAGCCAATCGTTTCAATTAGAAAAACACAAGTATTATTAAGTACAGTTTAGAAGTTGAAGTTGTTATTTGCCTTGGAAATTGTTTGCGCTTGTACTTCACAAGTTTAAAAAAAAAGTAATTTAATGAGTAAAGTCAACAACTTTAATCGAGTACGTGTGCACAGCTGAAAGTTATGCTACTAAAGCGGTAGCTGTATATTGATATTGAATAGCAACACAACATAGTGGCACTGTGACAACCACAGTAGGTAGTCTCCAGGCATACTGACAATAAGATATTAATAAATATCACTTACCATTTATAAGTTAAAGGACTTCGTCGACGACGATGCCTAGCAGGTGCTAACTCCGTGGCTAGCATGTCTTGCCACTTTGCGCTCATCCAGGCCTCGGGACTGCCGAACAGAAGTTGGTATCGACAATTCTTTATCGCATTTTCTTTTTTGGGACACAGCTGAGCGGCAGATATTCCAAGGTTGACCGCCTCCTGTACCTCGTCCTCCATTAAGACGATTAATGGCGAGACAACAATAACGACTGGGGTCTCGCGAAGTTTAACGCCAAAAGCTGCTCTTTTTACAAAATAAACTTGCATTCTAAACTACTTAAAACAATTTCTAATGCTGCATCAAAAGGTAACTTCGCGTCTGCTGCCATGTTGAATCCATAGATATAAACAAACTGCGTCGGTGTGAGGGATAGATGTCGTCGTCATCGTCTTGCTGCTCCCTCCCCGTTCTGTGATTGGTTCCCTAAATGAGGCGAAAATCACGCTGCTGTAGGCAATATGGGGAAACCCAGACTACAATCCCCAAGGAGATCAACAATGAAATACTATAAATATATATATATATAGTATTTCATTGTTGATCTCCTTGGGGATTATATATATGATTAAAGGTGCCAAAAGTGTGTCCTAACAAATGAGAAAGACTGAAATATGATTTTAGGTCATTATCTTCCCTTTTCTCTGTAATTTGGTGTGATAAGTCAAGCCATTATTTGGGTGAAGATGTCATGACAGAAACTCTTTCGCATCAGTTCCATTGATTGCTCCTTCACTCCACGGGACACGAACACTTCAGAGACAATATAATGCCTTTCACAACTATAAATGAATGGAGAAGAGCACGGGGGCCGAGTGCAGGAGTTCACAGCTTTAACTTCTGCCCACTCAAAGCAGCTCGCTGAACATCACATCGGGCTGATTCACATCATTACATCTCCTCACGTCCACAAATCTCACTGGTGTGACTCTCCTCCGTGTTTCTGCAGGCACTTCAGGGATTTGATTACATTTCTCTCACAAATAACACTGCAGCCTATCGAAAGAGATGATTTATTTTTCTTTTTAGGTCATTACCAATGCAATATAATTCTCTCACCCTTCCTTTTCATTCATTAATTGTAACTGTAGGCAGATTTTGTTGTTCAAGTTTCAGGGTCACTGTATGACTCACATATGCCTCTCTCTTTCTCTTCTTCTTCTTCTTTGTCTGTCAGTCTCTTTTACACCCTGCATCGTGTCACTGGCGTTGCCACAGCAACTTGAAGGCCAGAATTTTTTTTCAACAAAGATTAATGAAAAAACATGTAAACAGTTTCACAATAACATGCTTGTCTTTATCATCTGTGGAGAAGAACAAAAAGCAGTTGAGAAATATTAATTAGAGAAAATACAATGATATTTACACTTAAAAATTGCATCAAAAAGATTGAAATCACGTTGAAACGTGCATGAATAGATACGCCATAATTAAAAAACGCACTCTCAAGGCTTACTTTGAGAATTAATGATTGTTTCTTTTTGCTAACATGTTTGTTCAGCTAAACATTTGTATTTAAGTAGTTATGTATAGTCATATACTGACACTTTTGAAATTGCGTCTACATCCGATGCACATGGCACCCTCAATATGAGACGCAGACATATATGGGCCAGAAGGCGCCTCCTAGTGGTGTAACCCTAACACTACCCCAAACCGAAACGTGTTACATTGACGCTAAAGGGTGCCATGCGTCGGATTTAGACGCAATTTCAAAAGCGTCACTATAAGACGCCCTGAGATGAGAATGCGTTGGTAAATCACGGTGCAGGCGAGAGAAACTGAGCAGAGGATCTTATTTTTATTTACAAAAACAAAAGTGTCAATCCTGAATACATGAATCAATAGCAGCGTCACCAACGTAAAGACAATACAGGACAATGAGAAGAAGCAACTAGAGGGGCTGTTTACACCATTTGAGTAGACACCTTACAATGGAAAAAAAGCTTTATTGGACTAACAAGGTCAAACTAAAACAAGTCTACAGTTGCCAAGTGCCCCTTTAAGTCGTCTTCTCTTCGCAGATCTGTGTGAACGCTGTTGTCCAAAAAATGCAAATGAAAAAAGTACATCATTGTTATGTAAAACCCTGAGGGCTAAATGAGGAACCAAACAAGACACAGGTGAACATAATCAATTAATCAATGAGTAGCCAAAGAAACAAAAACCACAACAGGGACAATAGGAACAGGAACTATACACTGAAAACAACGTAAGAGTCCACAAACCGAACATAACCGTTACAAACTAATATTCAACAAAATGAGGGAGATAAACATTTATAGATTAAAGATTTACATCCCCCTCAGCTGGAGCTGGACAGGCTCATGAAAGGGTGACGTGACATAAATGTTGTTTGAGCAGAGCCTCTTGTAAGGAAGGAGTGTTGAGGGGAAAAAAAAGAGTACAGATGGAAAACCCTTGAGATGAGGCTTGAGGAGAGCAAAGAGCAGAGACCTTCACATGAACACTGATGAAGAGGCAGCTCTTCTTCTTCAAGCTCTAGCCCAGTGGATTCAGAAGAAAGAAGAGGAAAAATCTCCTTTTTTAAACATCAAATCGCTCTCTCAGTATCCACACACGCTCTGAAATACATTAAGATCATTAATATAATAACATCGCTTGCTCAAATCATGCTTTCACAACCAATCACTCATTTCTCCTTCACTAGACACTCACATTCTGGAGGTTTTTTTAATACTCCAAGGGTACATTTATGTCAACGATGTGCTAAAAACGGAAATGTTTTTCATGTGACGTTGTCAAAACGTTCCCGTTCACAGTCACACGGATCCGCAAAATCGACTAAACACGTTGTTTTCTGCTGCCAGGCCAGTAGGTGGCGATG